CCCCCCGTATCTGTTCATCCAGGTGGTCAGACCCTGGAGAAGAAGCCAGACATGGGTCCTCAGCTGTGAAGGGGGTGGGGGGTGGGGCGACGGCACAGTCCCCTTGTGGACTGTGGACCCCACACTGCTGCCAGCAGCCCTGCACCGCCCCCAACCCCCCTCCCCAGCATGTGTCGTGGCAGCCTCACTCCTCGGCCTTTCAGTGATGGCGGTGTTGAGCTCCGCAGCCAATGGCACTCAGTGTGCAGGGGCTCTGATCTCCACCAGGTCCAGGAGTCTGTTCCCATGCACTGGGGCCCCCTCAGGGATTCTGAGACCGCCCATCTCTCAGGGCCAGCGAGGAGCAGTGGTGGGCTTAGAATCTGACACCTTTGGGTGAGCAGCCTAATGCCTCACACACAGCACCACTGGGGGTCCCAGGAGCTGCTGTTTCTTCCAGCGGTCGTGCCCCCAGCTGTCGGGGCAAGGAGAAGCTGGAAAGCTGGAGTGGACGGCAGGGGTGGAGGGTGGTGGGGACAGTGCAGTAAAGGAGACCTGGTGCTCAGAAAGGGACATGGCAGAGCTGTGGGTGGACGTGAGCTTTTGTCCACAGGCGTTGGGGAGTCAGGGCATCCTCCTGATCAGGGCAGAGTGCACAGGAATTTGCTCTGCACAGGTGACCCTCCCAGGGTCTCTTGGGCTGGCTGTCCCCCAGAGGCTCCAGCCCACCCCAGTGATGCTCCTAATAAACTCCCGTTTCTCTGCCCACCCTAAGGAGCTGTCAGCCCGGCTCCTGTCTATCAACAGTGACTGTGACCAGATGGTGGTGACCTTTAAGACTTTCGGGGAGATCTGGAAGTTTTCCACCTACCACGCTCTCGGTAAAGTGCCCTGCCTGGCTCCGGCCACTCTCTGTCCCGGGCAGCACTCAGGACTTTAGGACGCAGGCTGGTGGGCAGGGAGGCACAGGGAAAGGTGTAGTGTGGCAAGCACAGGCTGGCGATGCTCAATCCCTGCTGAGCGGGCATGTCTCATTCACCTGGGAGCTTGGGGCCCCGACTCCCGGCCTGTTGCTGCTGCCACTGCCACCACTTTGAGCCCCTCCTGTAGAGGTGTTTAGAGGTGCCACCTGCCTCTTTGGAAGTCAGGCTACCAGCAGGAGGTGGCCCAGCCCACCCAGAGGCGTCTGGGGAGAAAACCTGGCTATCTATGCTGAGGAGCTGGCCCCCAGGGACTGAGGAGCACACTCTCTAGCACCCACGCTGCTCCCCCCACCCCTCTCCACCTGTGGGGTCAACCCAGCGGTGACTGGTTTTTCATTGCATCTCCTGGGAACCTTGCCCTGTCCCTTGTTTGAGCATGAGGGACCGCGGGGAACAAGAACCAGTGTTTGTTTGTTGAGCTCCTTCGAGGGCCTGTGCTCCCCCCACCTGAGGCCGCCTCAGCACAGAGGCCCGGGGCTTCTGGTGGCAGGCACCCAGGCAGGCTCCCCTTCTCGCAGAGCTGGGCGGAGGGCCAAAGCCTCCTGAGGCTGCTCCCCGTGGCTCACCTGCGGGGTCCTCATGGGTCAGAATAGACTCGGTGACACTGAGCAGGGGAGGCTATGTGACCATCCATCCTCCCCGCCTTTCAAAGGAGAAGCAGCCCAGCCCGTCTCCGAGGGCCACCATGGCCACGAGGGAGTGGCCTTCACGGACAGGCCTGGTTTCTCCCTGTTCAGGAAGCCAGCAGTCTGCACTCAACTCAGGCTCTAGGGGAAGGGACCCCCACCAGCGCCCGGCGTCCTGGTCTCAGCTTCCCTGGGGAACCTGGACAGTGTCCTTGGAGATCTGGGTGACACCCACGTCCCCTCGTGCCCAAAGGGTTGTTTATCTCTCCCAGGGTGTGTGTGACCTCATTCACAGGACAAAGGATCCTGCCTACAGACGAGATGTTGGGATCAGGTCCAGATGTGGTATTTTGGGTATAAGGTCTGGACGTGGTATTTTTGGTATCAGGTCCAGGTGTGGCGTTGGGATCAGGTCCAGACGTGGTATTTTGGGGATCAGGTCCAAGTGTGGTTTGGGGATCAGGTCCAGGTGTGGTGTTGGGATCAGGTCCCGACATGGTAGCATTGGGATCAGGTCCCGTTAGTTAGTGGTCCCCATGCAGCAGGAAATCACCACCCGGTCCTGCGGCAGCCTCACCATGGTTACGTCTGAGCCCATTGCTGCAGCCCCTCCGCCCACCTGACCAAGCCCAAGTGCCCTCTCCAGGGGCTGTTCCTGCCTGGTGAAGTCTCTCGCTCACCAGCCTTGCTTCTACAGAGCCGCTGGCTGCAGGTGTAGGGTCAGGATTTAGGGTGCACATTTGGGGGATACATTCAATCTATAGGCACAGAGTTTAGGGGTCTTGTTAGGTTCTGGTCTGACCACTCAGCTAAGCTTCAAAGCTGGGCAGTTAGCGGGCACAGTTGGGGGGTTGTGGTCAGGGACAGGGTGTTGTCAGGGTTCCCTGAGGCCTGGTCCCTGCAGGGCCAGTCCCGCACTGGCCTGCGGGGGCTACCTAGCCCCTGGTCACTGTCCAGAGCCTCCTGGTGACTGGGTGATCTTCTCAGGTTTCGTCCCCCACTGCCTAGAGACTCTGCTGATGGACCAGGCCTTCTGGCTGCGGGCGCCCGAGGATGGGGACCAGGCAGTCCTGGAGGTCCACCTGGAGGAGGAGGCCCTGAGGCAGATGCACGAGAACCTGCTCCTGCAAGAAGGCAAGCTGGGGGCATGGCTAGGGTGTCCCTGACTGGGTGTGGCCAGGGCGGCTCTAGGCTGGGAGCACCCTTGGGGTGGGAATGGTTTGGGGCAGGGCTGGGAAGGGTGGGGCGAGGGACCATATCAGGATGGGGCTGAGGCTGCAGCCAGGGTAGGGACCACAGGGCTGGGCGTGCCTAGAGCGTGGCCTGTATGGACGTGGCTAGGACAGCACCAGGCTGGGGAGGAACTGGGCATGGTTGGGCAGGGTCTGGGATGATGCTGACAGCTGTTTGCCCAGGTGCGGCCACAGCATCATGAAGACCCCCGCCCAGAAGGCGGCCTCCCATGGGGGCGCTGAGTCCATGGGCTCACAAAGGGGCTTCCCTACCCTCACCGTGGGGGGAAAGGCTCTTCATAACACAGACAGGGAAACAGGCCCAGAAAGAGACAGGCTGAGCTGCGACCTTGGGCCTGCTTCCCAGACCAGAGGCTGGGGGTCCCCGCAGCAGGGAACATGGGTTCCGGGGTATCGAGGGGCCTTCAGTGACCACCCCATACCTTTAAAGGGTCCTACTTTGTCCTGGGTCCTGACCGCCACATGAGGACAGTGACTGGTCCCCAGGGGGCGAGGAAGGGCTCCCAGGGAGGGGCGGCCTCAGAAGTGGACTGTCGGATCCCCAGCAAGTGCTCAGAGGAGGTGGCCACAGCCTTGGAACCCTTGGCTCCGTTTCATCAGTGAGTACCCACCGGCCTTTGCACCCAGACCCGCCCAGTTAGAGTCAGGACAACAGCTAGCCAGGATGTCGGCCTGACCATCCGGGGGCAGCCTGGGGCAAAAGTGCCCAGCTCGGCGCCCTCCTCGACCATTCTGCCTTTCCCAAAAGCTCCTAAGGAACAGAGGCAGCCACTACTCTGCCCGGCCAGCAGGCCTCTGCTCACTTGTTAAATGTGGGCGGAGCACTGGCTTGGAGCTTCCAGGCAGCCAAGGTGAAAAGGGAAACTCCCTCTTCTGAGGACTGCACAGTGTCTGAGAGACAGCGAGCAGAGGCCAGAGGGCCCTTTGTCCCCTGAGGGCAGCAACGAGCCCTGTGTGGTGTGGTCAGCAGGCCCCAAGGGGACATCAGTCCATTCCCGAGCATGTGCTTCCTGGAGTGCTGGGCTGAGGGGGGCAGTGGCCATCTGCTCCCTCCCTCTCTGGGTTTCCCACTAAGGAGCTGTTTGTTGAGGCCGCACGGCCAAGGAGGCAGCAGAGCCAGGATTTGAACCTGGGTCAGCAGAGCCCGGCCTGGAGCCAGCAGAGCCAGGGTTTGAACCTTGGTCAGCAGAGCCCGGCCTGGAGCCCACCCCACACTGTACTGAACTACTGGTGATAGATGGCTCCTGGGTGCTGTGGGGTGCGGGGGTCCCTTAGGCTGGAGGCCACACCATGCCAGCAGGCCCCTGGGCTGCACCTGTGGGCATGTGTGGGAGGGGGAGCATTAGGGAGGCCACGAGTCTTTGGTCACTAGGGGTTGGGGGCGCAGGATTTCTAGCCTCCACAGAGTCTCC